TGGCGGAGGAGCCGCGGGCGCCATTAGCGCCGCCTCGGCCGCGCCGGCCCCCGCGCCCGCCGCCCGGCTCCCGCGGCCGCGGCCCCGAAGGTGAGTGCGCCGGACGGGCCGGGGCCGGGGCCGCCGCCTTGCCCGCCTCTCCCGCGGGCCGCCGCCGCCGGCCTCTCGGTGCTGGTGCCGCCGCCATGTTTGGCGGCCGCCGTGGCGGCGCATTGTCCGCGGGCGGCGGGCGGCGGGGCCGAGGGAGGCCGCGGTGTCAGGGCGGCGGCGGGGAGGCCGGGGAACCGGAAAGGAGAGAGGCCGGCCGAAGGGGAGGCCGGGCTGTCGAGGCGGGGAGGCCGGACCGGGAGGCTGGAAGGCCGGGCCGGGCGGCCGGGTCGGGTTGGGAGGCTGGGCGGCCGGGAAGGAGGGAGGCCGGCCGGTGGGGAGCCTGGAGGCCGGGCAGTGAGGCTGGAAGGCCGGGGAGGGAGGCCGGACCGGGAGGCTGGGCGGCCGGGGAGGCCGACGGGGAGGGAGGCTAGGCTGGCAGGCGGGAAGCCGGACGGGGAGGGAGTGCGGGCTGTCTGGGCGCTGGGGCCCGTCCCGCCCGCCGCGCCTTCCGCCCGGCCGCCCGGCGAGAAGGGAGCGGGCCTGGGTCTCGGGTCCGCCGGCCGAGCGTTTGCCCGAGGGTCGCGTTATGTAACGGACGCTCTGGGCACGTTGAGCCCGGACGGGAAACTCCCCGTTCCAGGGCCGCGTTTGAAAGACTCGAGGGGCGCGCGGACCCGGGCCGCCGCCCCCTCCTCCCCCCATCCCGCGCTGAGAGCCGGTGGTGGACTCAGCGGCCTCCGGGGCCCTTTGGAAGAAGTAACTTGATTGAGGTGTAATTTACGGAGGACGCGCGCGCTGCGGGTGCGCAGTGGAGTTTTGACGAAAGGCCGCGCCCCCGTGGAGAAGGCGCCCCCGTGGAGAAGGCGCCCACCGCCCGGGAAGGGTCGTGGGTGGAGGGCGCTGCGTGCACTCACCTGCCTGCAGTCCCGTCCCTGCACGAGGGTGTAAGTGGCTTGTCCGAAGCCAGGCGGGAAAGGCACTGATTGAGAAGGTGAGCCGGCCCTGGGTGCCGACTGCCTCTCTTACGGCCACATGGTTTTTCAAGGTGCATCTATCAGTAGGGTCTGGAGAGGCTGCTGATCGCCTTCTCGTGGGTACGCTTGTCCCCGCGCGGAAGGGTCAAGTGTGGGTGGAGCCCGAGGGCCAGAGATCGGGAAGTGATGGCCGGGTGAGATGGTCTGCAGAGTGACCCGCGCCTCCTTTCCCTGTCACCATCTAGCTTTCAAGTTGCGGAGCTGCACGACCGTTAAGTGCTGTTCTCCGGGTACTAAGTGTCCAGAGCTTCAGTGCCCTCTGGGAGAGCGTGGGTTTTGAAGGGCCGATTTTGCTTAGTACTGTTGGTTCTCTGCTTCCGAGGAGAAAATTACACGTTCGCTTTGCATCTGCTGAGTAACCGACTATCGCTTCTGCCCCACCCCAGTAAGGACCCCTGAAGCTGTGCGCTGTGCCCTGGCGCACCGGCGTCCCCTCCGAGCAGGCTGCGGTGCTGACAGTGGGGGGGCCGTGCCCCTCTCCCCCAGAAGGGATGGCGGGGCCAGGGCTAGCTGGGCAGCGGCTTGGCTGACCGCACAACAGGAGTCCAGGGCTGCGTGGGCCCCTGGAGACCCCCGAGATGCAGGTGAGCGGCGGGTCGGCTGCTCGTGCTGTTTTCCGTGCCTGTCAAATTGCACGTAAAACGTGGATTTCTGTTTGACAGAAGAGAAAACCACAATCGGAAGGGTCTCTCTTAAAAAGTGCATTTTTAGGGTCCGCTGGGGTTTCCGCTGGGGTTTGAGACAGCGAAGCTGGCCCTGGGAGGGCTTTTCCTGGAGGCCAGGTGGGTCGCTGTGCGGAGGCGCCCCGTGCTGGCTCCTCGGGGCTCCATCCCGTGGTGGGCCTTGGGCTCCACCTTGGAATGTTGTCAGCCAGTCTCTTAAATGTTACTCTGCTTCCTGTTAGTAAAATGTGGTCGTTTGGAGGGAGGAGGGGTCCTTGTCATCAGTTCCTGAGGTGCCACCCTGCTTGGCGGGCAGTGGTCCAGAGTCAGGAGTCATCACACGAGTGAGTCCTGCAGTAGATGCGGTTGGTGGCAGACGGCGGACGTCTGAAAAGAGCAAATGCTCATAAGTCTCTGTGGCCCAGATTTCGGGCACCTGAGCCTGTGCTGGCACCTGAGAATGGGGGGGCTGGGGGCGCCTCTGCGGGCGGCGCCGGGGGTCTTAGGGTGGCCCTTGCTGTGGCAGGAGGCGGGCCCGGCACCGTGGTCAAGCCAGCAGCTGAGAAGTGCTCTGAGGGGCAGGGCAGGTGGCTGGCCCGTGGGGGCTTTTCGTGGTTGCCACTCCTGAGCCCTGTAGAGGCTGGGTGGAGGCCTTCCAGGGGTGAAGCCTGCCCCCAGGCCAGTACGGGGCTTCCCTCTTGAGCCCTGGAGTGGCTGGTGGCCCTGTGCCCTAACACGGTTGTGGAGGACGCGTTCCTTGAGAGGATGGACGGGGCTGTGGTCAGGCTGCTGAGGCTTCCAGGCTCCCTAGGGGTGCTGACGGGACCTCCACTTCGGGGCTCAGGGCTCTCTCCTGGGCAGCAGTAGTAGTGGAGCCAGGGGCCAGAGCCTACCGGGGTCCAGCCCTGTGTGTGTGCTGTCCTGAGCTCAGGGCTGCGACCCCTGCTTGTGAGGGATGTGGCCGTCGGCTCGGTGACCTGTGGATCCAAGAAGGTGACTGGTGAGCAGTGGGCGTCAGCATCCTGGAAGGACTTGTCATCGCGTGTGCCTCTGGGAGCCCCTCTTCACCGCCTGCCCTCTCCTCTGGTCCCGGGAGTCCCTGGGGAGGGGCAGCCTCGGGGCAACGGGCTGTTGAAGGTTGTTGAGATACCATTGTGAGTCCCGGGATGAGTGATTTTGGGAACCTCCGAGATGGGTTTGCCGGGAGTTTTGTTTCGATTCAGCACGAGTTGCTTAGGTCTGCCCAAGCGTACCTGGTGGCTTTCGCCTCTCGTGTCCTCTGTGTGGAGTTAACGTGTCCTCTGCGTCCGTTTCAGGGAGTCAGTACCAAATGAGGAGGAAAGGCCGAGGTCATCGCGCTGCAGCGAGGCACCCTTCCTCCCCCGGCAGCACTAAGCACTCCCCCACGCGAGAGACGCTGACCTACGCGCAAGCGCAGAGGATGGTGGAGATCGAGATCGAGGGCCGCCTGCACAGGATCAGTATTTTCGACCCTCTGGAGATCATATTAGAAGATGACCTCACTGCTCAGGAGATGAGCGAGTGCAACAGCAACAAAGAAAACAGCGAGAGGCCGCCCGTGTGCCTGAGAACTAAGCGGCACAAGAACAACAGGGTCAAGAAGAAAAGCGAAGCCCCGCCCAGCGCGCACGGCGCCCCCACCCCGGCCAGCGCGCTCCCCGAGCCCAAGGTGCGCGTGGTGGAGTACAGCCCCCCGGCGGCGCCCCGGCGGCCCCCCGTGTACTACAAGTTCGTGGAGAAGTCAGCCGAGGAGCTGGACGACGAGGTGGAGTACGACATGGACGAGGAGGACTACGCCTGGCTGGAGATCGTCAACGAGAAGCGCAGGGGCGACTGCGTGGCGGCTGTGTCGCAGGGCGCGTTCGAGTTCCTGATGGACCGCTTCGAGAAGGCGTCGCACTGCGAGAAGCAGAAGCAAGGGGAGCAGCAGTGCCTGATTGATGAGGACGCCGTGTGCTGCGTGTGCATGGACGGCGAGTGCCAGAACAGCAACGCCATCCTCTTCTGCGACATGTGCAACCTGGCGGTGCACCAGGAGTGCTACGGCGTGCCGTACATCCCCGAGGGCCAGTGGCTCTGCCGCCACTGCCTGCAGTCCCGGGCCCGGCCGGCTGACTGCGTGCTGTGCCCCAACAAGGGCGGCGCCTTCAAGAAGACGGACGACGACCGCTGGGGCCACGTGGTGTGTGCCCTGTGGATCCCCGAGGTCGGCTTCGCCAACACGGTGTTCATCGAGCCCATCGACGGCGTGCGGAACATTCCCCCCGCCCGCTGGAAGCTGACGTGCTACCTCTGCAAGCAGAAGGGCGTGGGCGCCTGCATCCAGTGCCACAAGGCCAACTGCTACACCGCCTTCCACGTGACGTGCGCCCAGCGGGCCGGCCTCTACATGAAGATGGAGCCCGTGAAGGAGCTGGCCGGCGGCGCGGCCACCTTCTCTGTCAGGAAGACCGCGTACTGTGACGTCCACACGCCCCCGGGCTGCACCCGGCGGCCCCTGAACATTTATGGGGACGTCGAGGTGAAAAACGGCATCTGCCGGAAGGAGAGCTCAGCCAAAACGGTCAGGTCCACGTCCAAGGTCAGGAAGAAAGCGAAGAAGGCCAAGAAGACGCTCCGCGAGCCCTGTGCGGCCCTGCCGCCTGTGTGCGCGCCCTACATTCCCCCTCAGAGGTAAGCGTGGCGGGCCCGGGCCTGCTGGGAGGGCGCGCAGGGTCTGACCGCGTGCTGTCTGTGCGGCCCTGACGGTCCTCTCCAAGGTGGCCTCCTTCAGTCTCCGCTTCACGGGAGCATGGATGTCGCAAAAGACTTGAGTCTGGGAGACGGGGAAGTCTGTCTGGTTTCCTCGATGCCCGCGCGCGCCCGCGGCCACACTGACTGCAGCCACCCCGGCCTGGGGCCCCGCGGCGCCCCAGGAGTTGTTGTCATTGACGCGACAGAACACCGTTCCTCACCCTGCTCCCTCCCCAAAATTTGGGAATCTTGTGGGATTTTTAAATTTGCTGGAAACTTAAGTAGCGTGGCTGGGTAAGGCTGACCCTGGGGCAAAGATCAGAGTGGGGCGACAGGAGCCGCGAGGCGGGAGGTGCTGGCCTCCTTCCTGTCGTGGGACAGGCTTTCTGGTTTTCCTGGTTGTTCTCTCGTGGTATCGGCATTGCCTGGGCAGCGTTGGGTTCTTTGCCTAGAGCTGTGCGTGGTGGTGGGGTCAGGACCCCGCTGGCCACCCCCATCCCTGGACTTGTTTCCTCCTCTGCTGGTCTCCTTGGTACTGACTTGTGCTTTTTATCTTGTTGTGCCTGAGAGCGCTCTTGTTTGGAGTACGAGGTAAGTGGCGCGATGAGCTTCTCTCCGCGTGCGGTTTGGGAGAGACGCGGACACGTGCTTGAGCTTTGAGGAAGTGAAGCCTGCATGGGAGGGCGTGGGTCTCTAGGACAGTCTGGTTGAGAAAACAAAGCATCAGCATGATGAAGGGAGACGTAAGTGGGTGTCTGCTCCCGAGAGCGGTTCTGGGATGTTGTCAGGTCGTGAGGTGTGGTGGGAACTGCTACTGAAGAAGTGTGACCTTTTTCCCAGAATGACATTTTTTTGTCTTTACGGAACAGTACCTCTGTTACAGAATCAGTAAATTGAAAGCGAATGCAAAGTGCTTATAATCCCTTTTATCCAGAGAAGCCTTCTGTTAAAATCAAGGTGTCTCTTTGCAAATAAGCCAGTCTCACTTTTAAAAGACAGTTTCACTTGGATTTCTACTTGTAGGTCAAAAAGTATAGGATTTGTATCAAGAGTTTCTATCTAAGAGCCCGAAATTTTCAGCTTTACTGAAATTGAAGTAAATGAAACAAAAAATGTGATCTAGTAAATTGAAAACCCAGAAGTCTGAGGTGCTGCCTTGTCTGTCCAGCCCTGCCTGGTTCCCGGCCCCAGGGTCTGCCAGCCCGTCCGCAGGAGAAAGCATCTGCGGTTGGGAAACGTGGGTACCTGGAGTCTGAGATGAGCCGGTCTGCTGGAGGGGACGACTTGCTCCGGAGTAAACACTTAAGCTCAGGCGACGGAGCTGGTCCACGTGCTGGAGGAGCAGCTGGGCCATGCTCCGTCTTGTCCTTTCCTAATTTAGGAACAAACTGTGACTTTGGTTTGGAGCAGACGTAAACGGCACACCTGGATGAGTGCTCGCGGCCACAGGCTTTGCTGTCAGTGTTGCCCAGAGTTTCCGGGAGACCCTGACATCAGACCACCCTGTGGCGTGTCGGGGCGGGTGCTGGGAGGCCCAGGCTCACAGCCACTGCTCTCGTCCCGAAGCTGTGGCCTGAGCTGCGGCTGGGCTGCTGGTCCCGTTCTTAGGACCCAGGCACAGTGGCGTGTAGATGGGAGTAAAGCTCCATGCTCTCCACGGCCTCTGGCTCAGGACCCGTCTAGAGCTGCCACCAGGGTGGTGGGCGTTCTGAGCGAGCTTGGGAGCTGGCCCGGGGCAGGGGGGCTGGAAGAGGGGCTCTGGAGATCTAAGAAGAGGAGGATCCCCCTTATTCCCTGCAGAGAGGAAGGAGGGTTGGCTGTGAGAAGGCTGGGGGTGTGGCAGGAACTGTAAGTGATTTTGTGACTTGAGGGGTTTAAAAGCTTTCAAGTAAGAAAGATAACTCAGACCAACTAATTTTGAGATCATAGTCTGTTCTCAACAAGAGGGAGATGGTCGGTTTAATTTGTTTTATTGTTTAGTGTTTCTGAGCTACAAAGATTACTTTTCTTGTCTCTCAATAATAGACTCCGGAACAAAGATGCGGGTGTTCTGAGGCTTCGCCCACCTGTTCGAGGACTCCGAGCCTGTGGTCAGGCCGGCTGGCTGGGGTGGTCGAGGCCTTGCAGGCTGCCGCATGGCCAGGAGTGGCGCGGGCGCGTTGATGGGATGCTGTGCTCTGCCCTGGGCGGGTGGGTTGGGTCCGGCGGGGTCCTCGCGGCCGCTCGGTCCCTTGGCCCGTGAGGGTCCAGCCTTCAGCGAGGATGAGCTGCTCCTGAGCAGTTGTCCCAGTGGCGTGGAGCTGTGCCCGCCTGTCTGTGTCTCGCCTCCTGCACCTGTTCTCAAACCAGAATAATGCTTTTCCCAGCCCAGAAGCAGCATATTTAAAGTTGGGGGAGATACGAAAAGCCAGGGCTGAAGAAGGGAGAACAGGCGTGTGCCCTCCGTCCTCTGGCCTGCGCTGCTGCTGTGCTCTTTCTTTGTGAAGTGTTGCCTTTCCCTCGAGTAGCCGCTCTTCTGATTGGATCCTCTCTGCTTCTTCGTCCATTTCGCCTGCTTCGTGAGGGGAGGGGCCAGGCCAGGTGAAGGGACTCACTCGTGGAGTTGGAGCCACCTGGGTCCCTTGGGGTAATTAACCTGGTCACTGTGCTCTCTCTGGTTGCGCTATGGGTGTCCCAGTGTATCTGGGGAGGAGGGGCCTCGAGGGAGGAGCATCCGGCCTGGCCTCGTTGATACGCGTGTTCCGCGTAATGAGCTGTAACCGGAAGTGCATGATGAGCATGGAGGATCCGGGTCACGGCTCTGTCCCCTTGAGGGCGCCGCTGGGACACCAGGTGAGGACGGCTGGAGAGCGGGTGCTTGGGAGCCGTTGGGCAGACAAATTTAATGCCTGTTGAACTTAACAGCAAGAAGTTTGCACTTGAGTTTGGTATGTCTTTTTTCATGTTTCTGGCAGTTAAGTTTATTACGTGTTATGGAAGTTCTCATGGGTTGTGGCCTGGGGAAATGGGAGAAGCCTGTCAGCCCCTGCAGGTGGGAGCCTGGCTCTGGGCGCCCCGTGCATGTGGGTGCCACCTCTGCTCTGTGGGCGCCGCCGGGCAGCCCTCCCGGGCAGCCCTCCCGCCCGCCTGCCCGGGTCCTCGGGGAAGGGCTGTTTAAGGAGCGACTCCTGGAGAGAAGCCCTACAAACCCAGCCAGAAGTCAGAAGTGCGGGTCGTGAAACGCACGCGGTGTGGAGAAGCCGGGCCGCGTGTCCCGCTCCTGCAGGTGTCCCTCCTGGTCACGTCGGGCGAGCCCAGCGGAGGCGGCCTTGGCGGCTCATGCCGCCTGATGTGGGGCCGAGCAGTGTGTCTCCCCAGAGCTGCTCTGAGTGTTCTAGTTCCGACCCTCCTGTGGCTTCGTTGCTTTCCTTGGTTTTGAACTGGGGGCTGGGGGACTGGCGTCACCCCGGGCAGGTCCCCCGTCCCGGCTGCCAGCTCCGGCCTCTGCACCTGCGAGGGCCCTCCTGGGGCGGGGCGGGGAGCGTGGGAGCGCAGGGGAGGACTCTGGATGCTTCGCCACGTGTCTCCGCTGCGTCGCGGGCTCTCCTGACGCGTGTCAGCCTCGGGGATTCCTGTGTGTGTAGGACTGAAGCGAGTGCTGAGCGTGGTGCTGTGGGTCGCGCCCCGTGTCCCTCAGGCGTGCGGCCCCCTGGCTGGTGCCCTGCTCGCTTTACCCCCGCCCCCCTCCTCCTGGTGGTCTCTGCTGGGCCCGGCCCTGGCGTCACCCCCGCTCAGCAGGCCTGCTGTGCTCACACATCCCGCAGCCGCGCATCCGGGCGCACAGAGCAGGCCCGGCCCACGGGGAGGGTCTGCCGAGGTCATGGGATCCGGCAGTTTCTGGTCGCGTTCACCGTATCTGCTTCCGCAGAGATGGGGCGGACGTGCATTGAAGTTCTCTTCCATCCTAGCACTTGGAGTCGCTGCCTGGAGTGGATGGCGGGATGGACCTTGGTGCTTTGGGCACCCTCCCCCTCCAAGGCACAGAGACCGGCATTGCATGTCATCTTGTCTTCATTTCAGTTTCAGTTTTTTGTTCAGAAATAACTTCAAATTTATAAAATGTTGCAAAAGTCGGAAAAAAACCCCACCCAAACGCTCTTTACCCAGAGTCCCCTCTTGCCAATAACCCATTTACCCTCTTGGGGGTGGTTCCACGCGCCCCTGCGTGTCTCCCAGGGTGGGGCCGGCCTCCCCTGGAGGCTTCCTGCCTCCAGTCGGGACCAGTCCCACTCAGCCTCCTTTGATTTGGGCACCCCCAGAGCTCTGTGTCCCCTGCGACAGGCCTCCGCGGCTCACAGAGGTGTGCCTGGGACCGCGGGGCCCAGCGTCCCCACCCCTGGTGGCCGAGGTGTCAGCAGCGCCTCTGCCGGACGATTTCTGCGCTTGAGTTTTCTGGCGCCGGGTCCGGGGTCCGGGGGCCCCTGGAGGCGACGGCTCCTTTCCACGTGGCCTGTCGCTCTTTTCTTCCTGGCCTTCCTCCCCGCGAGGGCTGGAAGGGAGCATCCCGTCAGCAGGGTCCTTCTCTCCCCGCCGGCGTGGACCGGGAGGTGTGGGTGTCAGAGGGGTCTGCCCTGTGGGCCCGGGCACTGAGGTGGGCAGCTCGAGAGGGGTTTCTCAGGAAAGGAGGCCCTGCCCAGCTGACTGTCACTGTCAACCTGCTTAGTGGTCGAGGGGAGGCCCCCGGGGCGGTCGGCCACCTGGCCTTGGCTGTGTGGCTGTGGCCGTGGCCATGGGTGCTGGTGAGGTCTGGCTGGGAGGTGTGGATGCGGTCCTGGGGCTCCTGCCTATGGTCCATGCGGTCGGGCGGGGGGCACCCCGGAGCCAGTGTGGCCCAGAACCGCTTCCCTCCAGAGGCCGACTCCAGGCTCCTCGGGTCTGGCGGGTGGACTTCACTCATGTGCCCCGACCTCCCAGCTGGCTGAGCAGGTGTTGAGAAGGGAGGGTGGACCCCGCTCCCTGCAGACGCCGGCGGGGTGGCCCAGGGGCTCCTCCAGTGTCTGTGTGTGTCAGGTGGGGATGGCTTTTAATGCCATTTGTGCCCGTTTGTCGTGACTTTTATATAAAGATTTTAAAAACTAGATGGTTACGTTGTTTATCAAATGTAGCCACAAAAAAGAAACAAACATTAAGTGACCCCTCGCTTTTGGGAGCCCTCCTGTCGCATCAGCCCACCACTCGTCGGTCGCAGCAGCCACTCGTCGTAAATGGGGGCGGGTTCCTCTGGTTTCCTGCCCTGGGGGCTTGCGGTCGGGGGTGGGCTTGGGCGCTGCCCTTGGACGCAGTGCCAGCACACCAGAGCCAGTCCCGGCTCTCCCGGTGGTGGGTCTCTCTCTTCCCGGGCTCAGCTTGTGGGTGGCAGGTTGTTTGGCTGTGCTCATCACGTGTTTTTCCTCAGCTTATCTTCTCATTCTTTTTTTTTGGCTGCATTGGGTCTTCGCTGCTGCGCAGGCTCTCTCTAGTTGCGACAAGCGGGGGCTACTCTTCGTTGCAGTGCGCAGGCTTCTCACTGTGGTGGCTTCACTTGTTGTAGAGCACAGGCCCTAGGCGTGTGGGCTTCAGTAATTGTGGCACGTGGGCTCAGTAGTTGTGGCTCACAGGCTCTAGAGCGTAGGCTCAGTAGCTGTGGCACACGGGCCTAGTAGCTCTGCGGCATGTGGGATCTTCCCGGACCAGGGCTCGAACCCGTGTCCCCTGCACTGGCAGGCGGATTCCTAGCCACTGCGCCACCAGGGAAGCCCCCATTTGTTTCTTTACTAGTCTTTTTAGAGAGCACGGTTCTGGTCTTGTTGAGACTTCCTTGTGTGTTGTTTCCCGTTTCATGATTTTTTGCTCTTTGTCTTTCTTTCCTTCGCTTTATTGAGATTTAATTGACACATAACATCGTAAGTGCGATGATTCGAATCACTTATATGTTGTGAGTGTTTGCAGGATGAGGTCGGTTCGCTCATCCTTCACCTGCCGTACTGTTGCTGTGGTGGGGAGAAAATGGAAGCTCCCCTCAGCAGCCTTCCAGGGCGCTGCGCGGCCTTGGGGCAGTTCCCGCCACCTGTGTGCGGTCCTGGGACCTTCCTGTCTTGTCTTTTCCTGACTTCTTCAGTGGGGTGCTCAGCACATGACGAGTCAGCCTTGTATCTGTGCTGCCCCATTTGACTGTTGCAATAACTGAGTGCGTGTTAGAACACGCGTCTGCGTGTGTAGAGACCCCCGAGCTCTGTGCGTTAAGATGCATGCACTTTGCTGCTCCTCCGTCAAGCCGCTGTCAAAAAGGTGAAAACAGCCCCCAACGGAAGGGCGACTCCGGGGTGCCCAAGGTGAACACAGCCCCGTCCGCAGACGAGGAGCCCTGGGGTCCCCGGTGCTCTCTGCTAGAGCCATCATGGGACAGCGGAGATGCTCTGGCCGCTGCTGGCAGGCATTCCAGCCTTGCCTCTGGTAGCAACGCGTGACCAGGTGTCCCGAGCGGGTGGGCCTGTGGGCACGCTGGGGCTTGGGCTCTGCGTCTGCCTGGCTGCTCTCGCTGACCCCTGGCCTGTGCTTGGTGTGGAGCTGCCCCTTTGGTGGATCTCCCTCGGGCACCCTGGGCAGGGCTGCCCTGTGTGGCGCGTGGCCTTCGGCACCGAGGCTCGAGCCGCATCCACTGCTTGAAGGAGGAGGACCGTCGTGGGTCTGGACGCGGCAGAGCCGAGGGTGTCGGCACAGTTCTGTGCAGCTCAGGATCGTGCTTTTCAAAAAATGTGCTCTTGAAATTCCTTAATTTCTGACCTGAAATGTTGACGTTTGGTGCACAGTGGGGAAGCCTCCTTGTCCTGTCGAGGTTCAGTTCTCGGCTGCCCCGCTCGTCTTCCTGAGGATGTTTCAGCAGCAGGGTGACGGCAGGGACCAGGAAGCTGTCCTGCTGGCTTCCAAGGGTTTTACGCCGTTTTCGCGTCCCCTCGTGCAAGTGTTGTTACAAATCCTTCACGCTTTGCAGTCCTTGAAAGGGTGGAGTGTCGCAGGCGGCTTGGGGACGCTCACGGTCGTTTTGGGGAAGGGTAGCTGCCCCCCTCCGCTGCTTCTGCCTCCATTTATGCCATTGCTTTCCCTCTTGAGGGGACCAGGGTGCCACGGCCCCGAGCCCCGTGAGAGTGGGTGACTCTGAAGGGTCGGCCACACCTGGTGGAGGTCGGTGCGTGTGGATGTGCGACTCAGAGGAAGCGGAAACACCCAGGGCTCCACCCGTTTTTCTTCTTAGACGTGTGCTCCAAGGGCCGCTGGAGTGACCACGGGTGGACGCAGCCTGCGGGTAGGCGGAGAACCAGGGAGGCGGTGGTGGCCGTGAGGGCACCGCCGCTGAGAGGTGCGGTGGGATGCACGCGGTGTGTTAACAGTAACGCTGTGGTTTCTCGTTTCCATGATGAGAGCGCACCATTGTCTTGCTTTACAGCTAAACTCTGAGTTTTTCCGTGTTCTAGATTAAATAGGATTGCGAATCAGGTGGCCATTCAGCGGAAGAAGCAGTTTGTTGAGCGCGCCCACAGCTACTGGCTCCTCAAAAGGCTGTCGAGGAACGGAGCCCCCCTGCTGCGCAGACTCCAGTCCAGCCTGCAGTCCCACAGAAACACGCAGCAGGTACGTGCCCGCGCCCCCGGTGTCCCTCAGCCTCCAGTGCCTCCGAGGAGCTCGGAGGAGGCAGGCTCAGGTGTGTGGCCGGCCTCTCGGGCCAGGGGACCGCGTGCCGGCGTTAGCCCGGGGGGTGCAGGCAGTGCCTCCGTCTGCCTCTTTCCCGACTCTGCACGCTGGGATGCCTGCCGGGGGTGGAGCGGCAGGGGACAGGGGGCGCCGTGCGGGAGCGATGTAACTTGGGGGCCATGCCGAGGGCGACGAGGGCCAAGACAAGTGAGGGGGGGAGCAAAGAACAAAACCAGACTAGCGCTTACGTCTTAGCGGTTGATCTGCGTTCATAGACCCATCTGGTGTTGTAGAGCGTTTCTCTGAAAGGATGGATTTAGAAAGGAAGGGGTCGACTCTGTGCGATGCCCCAAAACAAGCAAGAGTCGTCTGCCCGTGTGTGCTGAGGGCGCAGCCTTCTAGACTCAGGCGCACAGCGGGGGCCCCCCCAACCGGTTCCCGTTGGATCGCTTTGGCTCCCGCCGCGCCCTGAAGGCTCTGCCGTCTGTCCCTGTGCATCATCAGTCAGAGGGGCCCGGGCGCTGCGTCCGGCATCTGGGTTCCTGGCGTGAAGGGAGCTCCCTCCGCTGAGTTCTGGTCGGGGCAGAACTGCCTGGCAGCTGTGAGGGTCCCCATCCCTGGGGTCCCCACGTTGAGGGAATCAGCCGCTGTTTTCATCCCGGTGTTTCGGGAGTTGCTGCTTCCCGACTGCTGTCGCTTCTCCTTGGTCCCGGCGTGAGGCCCGGGCTGAGCACTGCCCTCTCCACCTCGCCAGCGGCGACGTCCTTGCTAGGGAGCCCCTTCTCTCGATCTTCCCAGTCCTGTCGTGCTCACAGCGTAGGTCATTGAACGTTACTAACACACTTAGATGCTCAGTTTGACGTCTTAAGGCTTTCTGGAATCCAGAGGAACCGTTAAGATCCTGGGCCTCTGTGGGGTGGGCCGTGTCCCCGACCCTCCTCCATCCCTAGGAAAGGAGGCACCGCAAGGCTACAGGGTGTGCTTCTCAGACCCGCTGCCCCCGAGGGTGTGCTGTTGGGGCCGTCTCTCCCCTGGGGGTCCTGGTGCCCGCAGTGCCATCTGAGTCCCCTCCCCCGAGACGTGGCACAGGCCTCTGTGCAGACGCAGTGCTGCCGCCCTTGTTTGCTCGGGTGGACCTTGCACACCAAGCGGCTCCCTGAGCCCTGGGCTGCGGCTACGGTGGACGTGCGCACAGAGGGGCCGGGAGGTGCCGCGTCCTGAGCCCTGCTGGCCTGCTGGGTGCTCAGCTGTCCCGCGCCCACCTGCCCCCTCCATCCAGCGTCAGGACCGCTGACTGCTTGTGTTGGTCGTGCTGCCGACCCTGCGGGCCGGGGGCGCCCGTGCTCACCGGTGGGGGCCTGGCCCCTGGGGCTCACCCTCAGCCTTCCGTCAGACCCGGGCCTTAGTTAGTGGCGCCCTGCGCGCTCCTCCCTCCTCTGCATCGGGCCTGGAGTTCGGGTCTCGGTCAGGGCTGTGTCGGAACACGTGCCCGTGGGCCGGGAGGGCCAGCTGTGGGCTGGGGGCCGTTCAGGAGGCCGCAGGGCTGGAACCATGGGGACTGAGGTCAGCTGGCTTGCTTGGGTGCTGTCTCAGGAGCTCCAGGAAAGGGGGGCGGGGGCGGGGGCCCAGAGTCTGCAGGCCTCTGGGGTGGCGGGTAAGCAGGTGTCGCAAGATCGGGGCAGCGAGGCAGGACGGAGGGCTTCGTCCTCGCCTGGGTGACGGCAGAGAAATGGGAGACATGGAGGATGCAGCCCCAGGAGTCTCGTCTCGGGGCCCTGGGGGGGCGCAGGGTGAACCGCGCTGGGAGTGGCGGCCCGGGGCCTATGTGGTTGCCGGTGGGACCTGGGCTGGGTTTGGGGGCAGGAAGCTGGGGGGTTGGAGGCGTGTGCACGCGAGGGGCCTGCCTGCACCTCAGGGGAGCGGGGTGGGGGGTCACTCCTGGTGGAGCATGTGCTCTCAGGAGGCCGGCACGAGGGTTCGAGACCAGTCGTGTTGTATTCCCATCCTGCCCCACACGAGGTAGATTTGTAACGATGGGAGGATTCACCCACAGGAAACGGGAAAGGGAAGCGTCAGCTCTCTTGGCAGAAGGAATTGGGAGGAACCACAGAGATCTGGGTCCTTATGACTTACACTGAGCCCTGAGGTGTACCTTGGCTTGGCCAGGAGAGGGCTCTGACTGGGTCTTACAGAGCCCAGCTGTGTGGCCTGTGTGGGCAGGGACACGGACGCGGGGCGGCCTGCCACCCGCCACGCTGGGGGCGTGAGCTCCCGCTTCGTGGGAAGGACAGGAGGCGGACGGGTGGAAGGGCGGCACCCAGCTCCTTCTTCCATCGCGTTCTAGCAAAGGTTGACTTGTGCGGACGTCCGAAACATTAATGTTCCACACGGGACGTTCAGGGCTTGGTGTGATTTTTGATGTTCTTTGAAACCTTAAAATTACTTGGTATTAGAGGTTAAGCTGACTCATTTAGCCCTGAGCCGGGCTCTGGAAGAGGGCACGTGCAGCCCTTCCCTCCCGTGGCCGCCTTCTGGTTGGGGACAGACAGACAGATGGAATGAGCTGGCCTGGGGCAGACGAGGCGCCTCGGGTTTTTGGGTGCTGCCTCCTCGGTGGTCTGTTGAGAGCGGGTCCCCTTGGCGGTGACCCTCCCTGGAGCCTGTCCTCCGCCATCCTGCAGAGCCTGCTGGGGGTGAGGGCCTGCAGCGAGTGCTGGGGTGGGGTGTGGCTCCTGTCCCTCCTGTCCTGCCTTTGAGCGAGCATGCCCGCCCACTCACCCCGATGCGCCCCCTGGCGGGAGAGCGTCCCCTGTCCGCTCTCTGGTGGCTTTGGGACAACACGGTTGTCCTGCTCTGCTGGGGCAGGGCCACTCGCTGTCTGCCTTGCTGCCGCTGGCGTCAGCTTCAGGGGCCGGGGTGGCTGTCCCTCAGGGTCTTTAGGCCCTTGGTGATGTCTGGGGAGTCGGGTGCGTGTGCCAGGGCCTCACCCCGCAGAGCTGGCCTGCCCTGTGCCTCCAGCACAGGGTTTTGATCCGACCTAGGTGGTCCTGACCCTGGGGGGGGGGGTCTTGGCGTCTCCCTTCCAGGCGGTGAGTGTCCTCCCCTCCTGTGTTGGGTGGACCTCGGCTCGACTGCAAGCCGTCCTCTAAGATCCTCTTTCCTGAGAGTTTTTTGGAACCAGAAATGGCTTCATTACCGCCCCAGTTTATGGAACTTCCCAGGGTTGGTTTTAGGTGAAGTAAGACCACTTGAGCAGAGTCAGAAACTCAGGCGCTTTCGTGCAGAAGAGGCGTGGGCCTCAGTCAGGTCCTGCCAGTGGTTCCTGCGTGGTGGGGCCGTGGTACGCGGAGAGAGCCGCCCTTGGCGGCCCTTCAGCCCTGCAGCCGGGCGGTAGCGGGCAGTGCGCACAGCAGATGGGCACCAGGGGCTTGTTGGGGCTTACCTGCCTTCCTCTCCCTCATTATCAGCTAAACATCCTTTCAGCTGATATTTTCAGTGTCTGTTTCAGACTAACGGACAAGGTGATTTTCAGATGCTCTTGGGGAATTTGGTTTTCTAAGCCCACCTTTCAATGTATTTATTTACTGGCTTTGTTCATACAGCCGATGTTACTGTTAACTCCTGGTTGATGCCTGAGAATTTCAGATAACGTAAAAACAAGCCCAGTGATTGGAATCTGGTGGAGCCTGGAGGACGCCTGGCGGAGAGGAGGCCCAGGGCCAGCCCATGTCCCCGCACCCGGCCTCCTGGGCCTCGCTCTGCTGCGTTTCCCCGTAGAGCGAGAAGAGAGGTGCCTTGCAGCTCGTCATTGGTTCTTTGCCTTCAGACTCCAAGGTCCTAGAGGGCAGTGTCAACCCCTGTGTGGTGGCCTCAGGGTTGATCCTCACCGTTTCCGCCCTCGGGGCAGAGCGCCCCCTGCTGCCAGGTTCAGGCTTCGGACTGGGATAGGACTGCGATAAGCGTCGGGGGCCGGACCCCGCCTGCTGGCTGTGCTGTTTCCGCTCTGTCTGGATGGGGGTGGAAACCCGAGGGGCAGAAGGGACCGGGGAGAGAAGAGGGCCTGAGAGTTGTGCCGCGTGTCCCGGCAACAGTGCCGGCGCTGCTGCCTTAGCTGAGGCTGGAGGTGCGTGTGTCCACGACGGCAACAGGGAAGGGGAGCCCCGTGCATAAAGTCGGACGCGGCTTCGGGACTGCTGTAATCGGGAGGGCCCCAGACACCCGCTGGAAGCCTCAGCGGGGCTGGTGTGGGAAGGTGAGGAGCCCGACTGCCCCTTCCTCCCGGAGCTGTGGTCAGGCAAGCCTTCAGCTGAGATGCCGGCACAGGGTGGGCTGAGCCTGGGCACGTGGGCTTCCTGGTGGTGTTGGGCGCAGGCGGTAGAGGGTGGGCGCCTGGGGCTGGGGACGGGCAGCAGTCCTGACCCTCCGGGAGGAGCGCGCTGAGGGCCCGAGCGCCTGCGCAGCGCTGGGGCGGGAAGGAAGTGAGGACGTGTGCGTGGGAGGGCTGGGCGGCCTGGCTGGGCGAGGGTCTTGGGAGCGCCTAGCCGAGGCTGCCCGGAGGGCGCGCCGCCCGGGCGGCCAGGTCTCTCCACCGGCGTGCCCTGGTCCCCAGCCCTCGCTGCTCAGCCCCATCCCTCCCCACCAGCGCTGGCCTGGAGATGGGCTGGCAGGGTGCGCACGCGTGTCCCCAGGAAGGACGTGCGCGGGGCCGAGACGCTGGGGAGGTGGCGCCTGGGCCGTGGAGCTCTTCCTCGGCGGGTCTGTGCGGGGGACGAGGCCGACTCCATTCCTCTCTTCAGAGAGAAAACGACGAGGAGATTCAAGCTGCCAAAGAGAAGCTGAAGTACTGGCAGCGGCTGCGGCACGACCTGGAGCGCGCGCGCCTGCTCATTGAGCTCCTGCGCAAGCGCGAGAAGCTCAAGAGGGAGCAGGTGAGGCCGCGGGGGCGGGGCGTCCGGGGGCGGGGCGGGGCGTCCGGGGGCGGGGCGGGGCGTGCAGCTGCTTGTCCCCTGGGCCCGCAGTCCTCGCCCCCCTGCCTCCTCCAAGCCGTCCTCCCTGGTGAGGGGTGCAGGCCGGGTGACCGTCGCCCTGGGTGCCAGTGGCTTTGGGGGGGTGGCACTGACCTGTCTTGAAGGAGGCTGGCTGGCCTGGGGTGGTGTGGTGTCCATTGCGGTCCCGGGAAGCACGGGCAGGAAGGGGCGCCGTGTGTGCCCGTAACGTGGGCCACGTCGGCCACAGGGCGGTGTTGAGCGCTTGAGGCAGGAATAAGTGGCTTCTCAGCGGGAGGGTCCCCTCGGGCCCTGAGACCGCGCGCGCTGGCCCCCAGGTGAAGCTGGAGCAGGTGGCCCTGGAGCTGCGGCTGACCCCGCTCACCGTGCTGCTGCGCTCCGTGCTGGACCAGCTGCAGGAGAAGGACCCGGCCCGGATATTTGCCCAGCCAGTGAGCCTGAAGGAGGTGGGTGTCCTCGCCCTCGCGTTCCCCGTCCTTCCTCATGTCTGCGGTGACCAAAGGGATGAAGAAAGAGCCCTTCCCAGTGCGTGTCTGCCCGGCCAGGGGACGGGTTCCTGCGTTTGTGCTTTAGGGGCCTTGGCTGGGAGGGTCCTTGGAAGGACCCAGGCTTCAGTTTGGTGTGTCTCACTGCTGCCGCTCGGTACTGTGTGAGCATTGCGTGTGTGCGTGTTCATGTGTGTATGTGCACGTGGGGCTGCCTTACGTGGCAGCTGTGCTGGTTACGTAGCACGGATGAATCCTGTTTTGTCTGTAAACGGCTGTTTTCTTCCCTGGAATCAGGTTCCGGATTATCTGGATCACATTAAACACCCTATGGACTTTGCCACGATGCGGAAACGGTTAGAAGCGCAAGGGTACCGGACTCTCAGGGAGTTGGAGGAGGACTTTGACCTCATCGTGGACAACTGCATGAAGTACAACGCCAAGGACACGGTGTTCTACCGGGCGGCCGTGCGGCTGCGTGACCAGGGTGGCGTGGTGCTCAGGCAGGCCAGGCGCCAGGCCGACAGCGTCGGCTTCGAGGAGGCCTCAGGGATGCACCTGCCCGAGCGGCCCCCCGCGGCCCCCCGGCGGCCTTTCTCCTGGGACGACGGTAAGCGCGGCTGTCAGGGAACAGGCGGGAGGGTGCTCCCCCCGCAGACGCCGTGCGGGTAGGCCCAGGAGAAAGGGGGTGGGAGCCACACACTGACTTGAGGCTTCCTAGTAGCCTCATGAAAAAGCGGAAAACAGGCGAAACTTATTTTAGTGACGTGTTTTTAACCCACCGTGTCTCGTGGCGATTTTAACGTGTAAATGACATAAAGATTACGGAGGGTCGCCTCCACTGGCTTCCCATTTCCTCTTTGCTGCGTGGTGTGTATTTCACAGTCAGTGCATCTCTGTTCAGGGCAGCCACGTTTCAGGGTCCCACTTGAGAGAGACGCGTGGCCTGTGGCCCCGAGCAGGACGGCCTGGGTCGGCCTGATACAGACCAGGAAGCAGTGTAGCCGGGGCCTTGGGCCCATGTGGGCCCTACGGACTTGGGAGGGCGTCTGTGGCCAGAGCAAGGCTGTCGCTGTGCTTGGAAGTTAGCAGGGCACAGCCACGGGGCCCTCTCCCCGGCGGTGCACTCCTTGCGCCGTGGCCTTGGGGGGCCTGCCGTCCGCTGACTCGTCCGACCCTTGGAAGCTGCTGCCTTGCTGCACGGCTCTGCCCCCACAGGAGCCCTGGGCGGGCAGGGGCGCGGGGCCGCGGAGGTCGGGCCTTGCAGGAAACAGCCGGGCGAGCCACCACAAGTGCTTGCGTATGCTTCCGCACCCAGGTTTCACTGAGGATAGAATTAGGGATGCAAAGTCTAACCCGCCCCTCCTTCAGCATTGGGGTGCACGAGGGCGGGCCAGACGCTGTGGTGAGCTCCTCAAGCGACGTGCCTTCTGTTTCCGTGAACCTTCTTACCTGCGGGCTTTTGTCGGGATGCCTTCTGCTGTGTTTCCCTATACCGTCGTCTCGTTCCCTTCGTGGACGAGGTGGCGCTTTAGTAACAGGTTTGCCTGTGGCGGAGGTGTGTTCCTTTGTCTGGGCGGCCGCGCGCTGCCGTTTTTGTCCCAGTTTTATCTGCAGGGGCTTCTGTAGACTTGTTTTGTTTCTTGCCCGCTTCTCACTGATTTAAGATAATCTGTGCTTTATGAATTTTGGTGTTTGGCTGAAATGGAAATTGTTAGCGGTTTTTGTAGTAAATGTGCCCCAAACTCCAAATTATCTGTGAATTTTGCAGCCCAGTTTTAGAAAAGCCAGACGGCAGCCTGGGCCTGAGACTTGAGGTCAGACACCAGTCGCGATGCGCAGACGCACCACGCTGGCGCCCTCGGGGAGTCCACACCTCCCTTGGGCCCTTTCTCGGAGTCCTCGCTTGGCCTGGGCGGCTGGTCTCAGCAGGAGGGCTCGGCGTCCCTGGGCGCCGCCCCTGCTCCAGCGTACGCCCCTGGCGGCGGCCCTCGTGGGCGCCACGCGCAGATGGGGGCCCGGGGCTCCCCGGTGGGGCCGGCCGGGTGGTCTGAGGCTTCTGATGGCCGTGCCTCTGCTTCCAGTGGACAGGTTGCTGAGCCCGGCCAGTAGGGCCCACATGGTCCTGGAGGAGCAGCTGCGGGAGCTGCTGGACATGCTGGACCTTACGTGCTCCATGAAGTCCAGCGGGTCGCGGAGCAAGCGGGCCAAGTTGCTGAAGAAGGAGATCGCCGCCCTTCGGAGCCAGCTCAGCCAGCAGCACAGCCAGCCCCCGGCCGCCGAGTCAGGTACTGCAGGCTTTGAAGAGGACGGTGCTCAGCTGGGGCAGGAGACCGGGGAGGAAGGTAAGCACGCTCGGGGGCGCGGGCCAGGAGCGCTCGGAAACCTCCGGGCACACGCCGGGCCGTCCGTGCCGTCTGCGCCGCGTTTGGGCACTAACGAGAGTCTGGGGCATGGAATGAGACTTTTTTCTCAGCTTGGTTCCGGAAAACTATTTCAGGAGCACCGTCTATGTCGTCCGCAGCCTTGCCAGGGTGGTTGGAGAGTGACGGGGGGCACGACTGTGTGTCGGGTCAGGATAGTGGAGCAGAGTCGTTGCACTGGGTGCCTGGTGACCTGCGCGGGGTGCGCTCAGCCCTCACTGACTCGCTTCTGGGAGGGCGGAGGGCCTGGGGGGTGCGAAGGTCCCTCCCGTGCTCCGTCGTGCGCCGAGCGTGTGGGGCACAGGGCTGGGCCGGACGCGCGCCCAGAGGAGCCCCCTCCCCGGCAGGACGGGCCGTGGACGCCAGTTCAGCCTGGGCTCTGGGAGGTGCCCTCCGGGGGCTGGAGCTCTAGGACGGGCCGAGGGCCCCCCCCATGCTCTCCTTGCCTCACCTGAGGGTCAGCACGTTTCAGGCAGCGACACGTGGAGTCAGACTCCCTGCGAGCACAGCAGTTGGCCGCTGTTTTACGGTCTTTCTGATTTTTTTCCCCACTGCGTCCAGATAAGAATAACAAAGACATTAATCAAACCAGACGCCAGGTTGTTCTACAGCTTATCTTTTTAAAAGAACTGTGGTGTGCTGTGGACGGGTGCCAGCCTTGTGGACCTGCCACGTCCTGGCGGTGACCGCGTGTGCCTCTGCATGGGCGCCCATGAGTGGGCTGGCGCTGGGCGTCCCTCTGGCGGAGCAGTGTCCTGCGTGTCCCCCTCCTTTTTTATCCAGTTGCCTGAGGCAGCAGTGGGGCAGGAAGGACCTGGAACCCTGAGCTCTCTTCCCTTAGAGAGCGACCCTGAGTCACTCCTGCAGACTTTTCCTCGCGATGGCCTCTCTGTGTGCATGGCTGCGCTGTCAGCTGCAGGCTCTGCAGCTTCTCCTGGGTTCTGGGAGTTACGTTAGGTCCGTAGAGTCTGGGGGAGCCTCCCTGCCACCACCTGCGCCGGCCCTGCCTCTTGGGGCTCTGGTTCTGAGGAGCTCTTGCCCAAGGGGACCTTCGACAGCCGGGCCTACCTGGGTTCCCGGGCTGTGCCCCCTTCTGTGCCTTCAGGGGTCCTCGGGGTGCAGGGTGGGCCTGGAGCGTGGGTTCTGGCATGGGCACCTGCTTGCCTGCCAGCTGGCCCCTTCCCGCTGCCCGAGCTGCCCCTCCGGCTGAGGGCACGCGTTTCTCTTCTTGTGCAAAAGAGTGGGTTGGGGGGAGAATGTGTCGACAGGTTGGTCCGCCATCAGCTTCTGAGCTCTCCTGCTGGGCAGGCGTCCCTGGCGGCCCCTCTCGCTGTTCCGTGGGGCTGGCCCACATCGGAGGAAGCAGGTGGAGGCGCAGCCGGCAGATGTGAGCAGGGAGGCCTGGAGCCGTGCTGGTTAGGAGCGACACGTGGAAGGAGAGGTGTGGGTGGAGAGGAGAAACAGCCGGGCTTGTCAGGGAGGGTGGGGGGCGCCCCCCGTGAAGAAGCGGCGTGGCCTCCAGACATTGGGGCTGGAGTCGTGTGGCTGACACAGAGGTTGGTGGGGGCGGCGGAAGCAGCCGTTTGTGAGCGAGTGTAGAAACGTGTACTTGGGATCACCGTCCCGGGGCAAAACTCAAGAATCTTCTGAAAGACTCAGGACCACAATATCGATCCGTCGTGCTTGAAAGAGTGGTGATTTCTCAACATCAAACGCGGTCTTAGTTGTGATTTAATGTTCACGGGTTTCTGTTGGAAACCTGAGCAGGGAGGAGACGCTGGCGTCAGGCGCCAGGCAGGGGCGGCGGGCGTGGGGCTCCGCGCACCTTGGGGCGGGCGCCCGCGGACTCTGCCCGTCTGTGCGGTGCTGGTCTGGGGCCGTCAGCCGGGGAGCCTCGTGCCCGGGTTGTCGGTTTCACACACGGTGAGGTTTCCGTCGAGCAGCTGGGGGGTGCGGGCAGGGCAGTGAGGACGGCATGGCCGAGGCCGTGGGCCTGGGTCGCTGAGGGGCCTCTGCCTCTAGCTGTCGGGGCTTTGGTCCAGTGTCGGGTTCGAGCCCTGTCTCCGCTGTTTTAAGCCTGCGCCCGTCTCTTTCCCTGGAGGCTCCAGAGGGGCTGCCAGGGTCAGCTGGAGGCTCGAGTGAGGACAGGGGCCCCTGACTCGGGAGGGTCGGTGGCACGGCGTCCAGACAGGTGCCTCGCTGGGTCCCCGGGCCGTTTGTGGCTTTGCTTTGGAAGCGTCTCTTGGGCGGGTTGGCGCCACGGGTGTGGACGGTGGAGAAGCTGCCCTGCAGATGCCCCGAAGCAGTGGGGCAGGTGGGGTGCCCCGAGTGGAGCCGCCGGGCTGTTCTGTGTGTGATGAGCTCCTGTGAACAGGATTTCAGGTGCTCTGCATTCGTTTATGCCACAAACGAAGAGCGTTTGTTCTAGAAGTTAATCGAGCGCTTTTCACGAGCGTTTAAGCGGCGTGATTGTTCGCAGCCAGTGACTGTACAGGGACTTGCGCTCTCATGTCGGCTCCGTGTGCACCCCCACGCCCCCCCCCCCAGGGCTCTGCTTGGCACCTGCTCTGAGCGTGGTGAGCGCGGCGGGGTCATTGGTCACTGTGCTGTCTGTCCTCGTCTGACGGACGAGGGCACGGAGGCTTGGGGCCAGTGGCCTGCGAGGGTCCCGCAGCTGGTGGTGGGGGTGGTTTGCACCGGGTCACCTGAGCAGCTTCTGTCCTTGACGCCCACTCTGCATCTGTGCGGCCCTCAGAGGCCTGGGACATGCCTTTGTGAGCCGCCCCGGCAGACTGCAGGGCCCTGTGCCATAGCGTAGCCTTCAGGGAGGGGAGGGTCGGGTGGCCCCTCTGAAGAGCCCCCCCGTTCCCCGCGGCTGGCACAGGCTGGGTGTGGGCGCAGTCCGCTGTGGACCACGTGGTCCGGGGCCTCGTGTGTGGGCGGCCAGGGCCGTGGGCGCCTGCGGGGGGCTGCGGGGCGGCGGCTGCCCCAGCAGGAGCGGCCAAGCCTGGGGGTGGGGCCTGAGGTCGCCTAGCCCGCTTGCTGAGTGGGGGGGCCTGGGGGGGGGCGGCACTGCCACCCCTGCGTCCCCCTGCCTGCCGAGGCTGCGGCAGATGCTGACACCTTGTTGTCAGGTCAGCACGAGAGCCCCTGTGGGTCTGGGGGCGGGTGGGGGAAAGGGAGGGAGGAGGGCCCCAGCCCTGGGAAGATGCCCTTGGTGTTCCTAGTGAGTGACAGGAAGCCTCCCAGCGGTCACTCTGCATGTCCCTAGTTCCCACCTGGTCAGTGTTCCCCACGTGGTCACGAGCAGCGGGCGGGGGAGGTTCCTCACCAGCCGCGCGCCAGCAGTGGGCCTCAGGCCCTAGCGTTTCCACACATGCGCGAGATGAGTCAGTGTCTCCTGAAACTGACGTTTCTAACAGCTTGTGGTCCAGGAGAGGCGCTCTGCTTATTTTCTCCGTCGCTGTCACGTCGCTGTCACGTGCCTTAACAGGCTTTGAGCGGCGGTTGAAAGCGAAGGCCCCTCTGGGGCAGAGCCTGACCACAGCTGCCTGGGCAGAGCGCTCCTGCAGTTCCGTGCCACCCTCCTGGGCTCCGAGCCTGGCAGGCTCTCCTCACCATAAGTTGGGAGAATTCTCGAAACATTTGCTCAGAGACGTAAACGAACCTTAGAAGTTGTGTAGCTTTTCATTTTCAGAATGACTTTGGATTTAAAATATTAACCTTATGTGTTCTAGACGGTTTTGGGGAGATGTGCAGGTTTCATAAAATAGAAACTGTACTTTGTGATGATACATACTACTTAGTGTCTTCTGGTTTTATGTCATACGTCCTGAAGCCAGTATCCGCCTTGCCTGGAGAGCAGCCTCGGTGGCTTTATCCCAGAGGGTGTGCCCGCCCCGGCCAGCCCTCCCTGGGGAGGCTTCTCCAGCCTCTCGGGGCCCGGGGCTGACAGGCCGGCTCTCAGGCGTCTTGTTCCCATGTTAGTAACTTTTAAAGCCTTTTTCTTAAGAGGTTAAAACAGTCTTTGTCCAGAGGTTGTGTTTTTATATTTAAAGTCAGACTTAGGAGAAAGAACTTAGGTTGTAATGTCTCTGGAGGTGGCACAGAAGTTAGTGTATCTGAGAACAGAGTGGGACGTGTTCCTGCTCTCCTGGATCGTTCGCAGCCACTCACCACTCCCTGGTTTTGACACGACTTAGAGTGCCCTGGTCAGAAGTCAGGTCTACGTGCTGTTTCCTCTGTCTGCTAACCTTGTGGACCAGGTCAGGACTGTGGGAATGCCCGCTTAGAGCCCCTTAGTTACGTGAAATATTTTTCTTCCTCAAGGTAAGTGGATGTTGATTGCAGAAACTGTCATGAACTCGAATGATGACTTGACGCTGGCGCACGTGCGGTGGTCCTCAGGGTTGTCTTCAGAGGGTAGCTCTGGACACCTGGGCGCCAGGCGCCGCGGCCTCGGTGTCAGGGAAGCGCACACAGGGTAACCCGCGGCTGCTTGCAGACAGTTGTGTGTGATGCTGTGTTTCCTTGATTGAATTAGTATTTTGGTGGACTTCACATTTATAGTAAGTTTTATAATAGATTTTATAATTATCAGTTTTCAAAAATCACTTTATTTATAATTTTTTCAGGAGATAAATCTCCCCCTAAACTTGAACCATCAGATGCATTACCTCTTCCTTCAAACTCGGAGACTAATTCAGAACCACCAACCCTCAAACCAGTAGAACTCAACCCAGAGCAGAGTAAACTATTCAAAAGAGTCACATTTGGTAATGAATCACATAGCACTTGCACTCAGAGCGCACTGGTAATCGGACACCCTCCAGAGCCCACCCTCGCCAGTAGTGGCGATGCGCCGGCGGCGGCCTCCGCGGTGGCGGAGCCATCAAGCGATGTAAACAGACGCACTTCTGTTCTCTTCTGCAAATCGAAAAGTGTAAGCCCCCCAAAGTCTGCCAAGAACACTGAAACCCAGCCAACTTCTCCTCAGCTAGGGACCAAAACCTTTTTGTCTGTAGTCCTTCCGAGGTTGGAGACTCTTCTGCAGCCAAGAAAAAGGTCGCGAAGCACCTGCGGCGACTCCGAGGTGGAGGAGGGGTCCCCGGGAAAGCGCCTGGACACAGGTAAATGCCGCGCCGGCCGCGTTCTGTCTCGGGGCGGGGCGGGAGTGGGCGGCGGGGGTGGGGGGTGGGGTGTGCCAGCAGCTTCGGTGTTTTGCACTTTGTTGTCCACGTAAGAAGACAGATGGTGTTTTGCTTTGAGAAGCCCTGAATCATAAGTCTGAGGTGGCGCCACCTTGGGGGGCCTGGGGGCCCTGCTTGTCCCTCCCCTTGGAGAGCCTGGACCCAGGCCGCCTTCTGAGCGTGGCTGGCGCTTGGCTGTGCTGTCCGTGTGGTTGGGTCCAGGTGCAGCAGGTGACGGCGGGCGTCCCGCAGGCCTCCCTTCTGAGGCCCACAGGGTCTGGGCTAAATGCGGCGTGTCACCCACTTGCTTAAAGCGTCCTTTGACATTTTCTCGCTGTCCTGTGTGGCTTGGTTGGTACACCCACGATGGGTTATCTCCTGCTGAGATAACACTTGAAAGTGTTTCTCATTTGCTACTAAGCTTTTACGGCTTAATCGTCTAACTCGCTCACCCAGACACCCCTGTGCTGGCCCTGCGCCAGGAATTTCCCTCCGGCTTTGTTTGCCGAGGCACCTTCCCGCTCTCTCAGAGCGTTTCCAGCCATGCCGCCAGGAGGCGAGGGGTGTCTGTGCTGGTCGCCTAGCCGGTTGCCGTCCGCGCCCCTCCACGGCGGCGGGCCCGCGGGGCTGTCTCCTGGGGGCGGTCTGAGCTCCCTTTGGTCCCGGACGTGGACCAGAGCCGGCTCGTGTCCACTGCTGCTCTGTCTGCCGCATCCAGGCAGAGAAGTGCGTCTCCTCCTCCGGCGGTTGACTCAGTTTGAGCCACGGGTTCGTGGGGCCGGCTGGGTGCCTCGGTCCCGGGCGTCCACCCTGGAGGGGCGGGCGGTTGCAGCCCGGCGTGCGGGGAGGTGTGTCGCCTGGCTGGCTGTCCTTCCACAGTAAACTTTTGCACACGTGATTAGGGTTATTGAAACGTTACATTTTGTGCTTTTAGTTCGATGGAGCAATATCAAGTTGGTCTTTTTTGATAATTTGTTAGAACTTTATTTCTGAGTGCTGCCAGCTGCTTGAGTGTGTCCAGGGTACAGATACAGTGGAGCCTGTGTCGGTGCTCGGGGCTCCTTAACTAGCCTGGGGCCTTTCTCGGCCGAATTTAGCGAAAGAGCCTCGGCTTGGTTTTCAAGCGCACTGGAGGGTCCCGGCATCTGCACCGGGAGGCGAGTCAGGGCGTCGTGTTCTGGTGCACCGTTCGCAGGGCACTGCGGTCAGGGGCCCCTGGCGAAGCTGGTGTCCGGGGGGTGGGCTGCCAGGCCCCGACGTGGCCCTCGCCGCCCGGCTGTTCTTCTGGAACCGTTGCCCCCCATGGGCCTTCAACCGCCGGGCTTTCGGGGCCCTGTTGGACTCCCTCACCAAAGGTCCCTTGTAGAAAATCACGTCCGCTCCTTCCGGTTTCCGTGTGTAGAAAGTCACATCCGCTCCTCCCGGTTTCCGTGTGTAGAAAATCACGTCCGCTCCTCCCGGTTTCCGTGTGTAGAAAATCACGTCCGCTCCTCCCGGTTTCCGTGTGTAGAAAATCACGTCCGCTCCTTCCGGTTTCCGTGTGTAGAAAATCACGTCCGCTCCTTCCGGTTTTCGCGGCTGAGCCGAGGATCTTGCAGGTGTTCAGTGGTGATGGTTGAGGCCGGGAGTTTCCCGCAGGCTGCATGAGGGCCGGGGCGCGTCCGAGGTGTCGACCCCTATGGCCTGGCTCAGACGGAGCCCTTTGCTTCCCATTCCAGAACAGCGGTGCCTGCAGTGGTGTGCGGTGAGTCCTCAGGGTCTGCTCGGCCCTCGGCTGGCCCGTCGCCCGGGCGTCTCGTGGGCTCCGCGGCCGGGTCCCTTGCCCCGAGCGGCAGTCTTTGCAGTCTCGGGATTTGGGGTATTCCGAACCTTCTGTTTTCCAAGGGTCCGTCTGCGTGCTCTGCCTCGTAGGGAGCCCGCGGGTGTCCACAGTGTGCTGCAAGGCCTCCAGGTTAGGGTGAACCCCGCCTTGTTCGTTCCGGGCACTCAGGCCTCTCCTCGGAAGCGCCCGCGGGCGGCGTCGGCACGCTGGCTGCTGCTCCTGGAGCCGTGCCGCCAGGCCCTGCGTGGTCTCCCGGCTTCTTTCTGTGACCGCTGGCTCGTGGGCCCCAGGCCAGGACACCGTGCTGCCCGTCTCCTCGCCTGAGATACCTGCGCGCGGCTCCCGTCGTGCGCGTGGCGGGCCGTGTGCGCTTGCGTCTGTCGCCGTGTCTGCAGGCTGCTCGGGCAGGAGGCTGCTCTGCGGGGCCTGCGTTCCGACTGAACGGCTTTTTCGCTGGTTTCCAGGTTCTCGTTTTAACTACTAACACGCTGGGTAGTTCACTCTTTGAATCCTAATTATTTTCTGTTACCTTGGACTGGAGTTGTGCTACGCGGTCATTTTGGAACGCAGAAGGATCCCTGCACCCTTGCATTTCACCCAGTTCTTGTGGATGGCATTGGAAGCATCCGTTCAGCCGCCCTCCAAACAAAAACACAAACAGCAGCCCTCGGAGGAGCCGTGCCCCCCCCCCCCCCCCCCCCCCCCCCCCAAACACAACACCCCCCCCCCCCCCGGGGGGGCCCCGCCCCCCCCCCCCCCCCGCCCCTCTGTAAGTCAGCCAGAAGCCCACAGGTGCCGGGGCGGCGCCCGTCCTCCAGCTGTCTGGGACCTGGCTGGGACGTCGCTCGGCCTCCCCGTGGATAGGGTGACGATGCAGAAGGAAGCCTTGGGCCGAGGTGCCTGGAGAGCGTGCTGCGTCCACAGATGACTCGCGTGGATAGAGCTTCTGACCCGCCCTCGGCCGGCACAGGACCGGTCTGAGATGACCAGGGGCTCTGGGTTGGGCGCTGGGCTCGGGAAGGACTGTGCAGGCCACACACGGTGCCGGACCACGTGGCATCAGCCCCGTGTCCCCTCGCTGTCTGCTGTTAGCGCCTCCTGGCTCCCGCCGGGCCCGCCCGCCCTCGCTTGTCTCTCCTCTGGCTTCTTCTCCCGCTCGTCCCGGGGCTCTCGGGGAGGCACAGTTCTGTCTCTGGTCGCCACGAGCGGACGTCTCGGCTGCGGGCCTGGGGGTGTCCCGTGCTGGGTGTCCTGGCGAGCCTTGCACGCTGCTGCGTCTTCTTGGAGCCGGTCTGGGCAAAAGCAGGGTGTTGGGATCTTACTTGATGTGCTTCTGTGTTTTTATTGAAAGGTGGAAAAACGCGTAAAAATTGCAATTCTGTTGCCAACAGTAAAAATAAAATCTTGGAGCCAAAATAACAGGCATGCCCCCTGCTCCGACAGGCCGGCTGCAGTCCCTGTGCCCACTGGCCTTGGCACTGTGTCGTGTGAGGGGACCCCTTGCGTCCACACCGTGTGGTGGCAGGGGGCGCAGCCGCTCCTGTCGCTGTGCCTCTTGCTGGGCTGCCGTCCAGGAGGTCTTCACGGCCCGGCGAGGGCGTGGTGGGGTGGACCTCGGGTGCCCGGCACCCCTGTGGGAGCACCTGGAGGCTTCTTGCCACCCGGCAGGTGCGAGGCGTTCAGGATGGAGGTCGCTGCAGCCACTAATGACCCGCGTCTCGGGAGGCCTGGGGGCGCCTGGACGGCCTTGAGCTGCAGCTGGGCCGGGGCTCCCCGCTCGGCATGCCCTCCTTTGGGGCAGAGAAGGGAGTTTCGACTCCGGGGTGCCTCCTCTATCGCCCGAGGCGTCAGCCCTGATCCCCAGGGGCTCTGGGGGTGCAGCTCATGTCTCGGGGGCGTTGGCCGGTCCCTGAAGGCACTTTTCACCCGGCACTAACCTGGCTCTCGGAGGCACTGCGGGGGCACCTGTGTCTGCCTGTGGCTCTGGGCCCACTTCTGTGCAGACCTGTGACCCTGCCCTACTGAGTCGCATTTCAGGTCCCTGCAGGTCTCTGGGTGGCGTGGGGTGGCTTGCGGAGGCTGGCCCTGCTCTGGCCACGCGGCCTCGTGCCCTTGGGCTTGTCTGCTGCTCAGTGCGTGACACGGGGAAAACCATACGTGACTAGCTGGTCACCCTGGGGGCGTGTGTCCTCTTGTTTCCCAGCTGAGGACTCCCCACTTCTGGGGTCTTCTCCCCTGGTGTCACTTGTCACCGTGCGTGCCATGTGGGTGATGCCTGTGCCGTCTCCCGGGGACGACATGAGTGCAGGCTTGCTCGGTGCCCTGGAGCCGGGGCCGCTTTCCCCTCTCCTTTCTCCGTAGTCAGGAGGCCTGTCCTTCGTCTGACCTTCACCACGCGTGTCCTGTGACGGGCGCGCTGCCCTTCCTTTTGCCATTCCTGGCTGCCGCCTCCTGCCTTGGGATGGGGGGGGTCGCGGATGGCAGGCCCCATGCACTGCTCGCCCCAGCTCTTCCCAGGCGCCGGGTACCTGTCACAGGCGGTGAGACTCCCCGTCACCTTCTAGGGCCCCTCTTCCTGCTCTGCCAGGAGAGGCGGATGGGCAGCCCGCTTTGCCGGCGGGAGGTTGGGCGCAGGGGGAGGCCGTCCACGCTGGCTGTGCTTGGAGCAGCTTGGTGGCTGCGTGACCTTGACCCCTGGGCTGTCGCCACACGGTGCGTCTGGACCTGGCCCAGTGTCGGGTGCTGTCCTGGGCCCTCCCCGGGGGGTACAGGTGGGATCTTGTAGCAGCGCTGGTGCTGGGCTTGCGCCTGCGTGAGCGTGGCCCCTCCTGGTGGACCTGGGCCCCACGGGCTGGGACCACCAGAAGCGGCCATGGTTCAGCCCCGCAGCCTTGGCCCAGCCGCTCTGTTTCATGGGCCTGCCTTCCTGAGGTGGTTTGGTCCAAGTTCTGAAAATGAGTGCAGCACCCGCCATTGCCTGCAGGTACAATGTGAATTAGGTTTGAAACGGAAAACGCTAAGCTTTTCCTGTAGCTAGTGGTGTCAGGTCTGACGGAGATGGAGCAGGACGTCTGACCGGCTCGCTTAGGGAGAGTCGGGGGCTCTGTTCTCTTCGGGAGCAGCAGAGCGCGCTCTGTTCCTGCATTTGTACTTGCCCGCGGATGTCTGTCTAGGTTTACTCACCCCCCTTTGTTTGCAGGAAAGTAACGTGAAGCAGATGAGAATCCCCTGTAATCTGGCTTAACTACTTCAAAAATTTTTTGAAAAAATGGATTTAAAAAATTTTGAAGCACGAGGAGTGGGATTCTTTTCTGGGGAAAAAACACGCCTTCCCTGCAGCCGCCGCACCCAGAGGGGCCGGGCTGGGCCTGGCAGCGCTGGACAAAGGCGGCAGCTCGCGGCCCCTTCTGACCTGGGGTGTCCTTCCTGCCTCCTGCTGGCGTCAGACTTTTCGGGGGCAGGATGTGTGGTTTGGCTTTGAGATTTGCCTCGATTGAAACGCTTCTCAGGTGCTAAGGCGAAGCCGTTGGCTTGTTGGGCTGCTGGGGGGTTCTGGCCCCCTGGTGGCGCGTCCTCACCCGTGTGCCTTGGTGCTGGTGGTCTCGGTGGCGTCTGGACACAGGGCGCCCACGTGAACGAGACGCTTGTCTTGGATTTCAGGAGGTCGTGAGCGTTTTTGGGGGCTCCTGCTAGTGCTTTGTTTTGAAAGAAGGTTTTCCTTAGACATGGACGTGCTGATCCCCCAGAAGCCCGTGGCTCCCCTCCCCCCACCCCCCGGGGGCCCCCGCCCAGACTTGGGGCCTCTGTCGGCGGGCGTTGACCGTCCAGGAAGGAGTCGCAGGAGGCCCTCCTTGTCTTTGTGGGGCCTGTTTTTAAGAGCACCTTCTGGAGACCAGTGTGCCCTGACTTCGCCGTGCCTTGTCATCTCCGTTCGGTGCCCCCTGTGCCCCTGTCCCCGTGTTCTGAGCGTGCTGGGTGCTGGGGTGGGCAGGGCGCGATTGTCTGGCGTTGTCCCCGGTTTAGAGATGGTGGTGGTGCGGGCACCTGCCGCGGGGAGCTGAGCTCAGGGCCGCGTGCGCCTGTGTTGCAGGGCTCACCAATGGCTTTGGGGCCGCGAGGGGCGAGCAGGAGCTGGGCGGCGCCCCGGGGAGAACGGCCGCGCCCCGCCGCCGCTGCGCCTCCGAGTCCAGCGTCTCCTCCAGCAGCAGCCCGCTCTGCGACTCCAGGTGGGCCCCGCCCCGAGCCGCCCTCCTGCCCGCCTGCCCTCCCTCCCTCCCTCCCTCCCTCCCTCCCTCCGTCCCTCCCTCCCTCCGTCCCTCCCTCGGGGGCAGTGTCTCTTCCGCAGTGATCTGCTTTGTAGAATTTCACCAGAAGTGGGAAGGCAAACCCCATAGAAGTCTAACTTCAGTGACGTCTATACTTGGTGTTTTCCTGCCGAGTCTTGCCTTTACCAAGTTGGTGGCTGGGAATTCCCTGGTGTCCAGTGGTTAGGACTCTCACTGCCGGGCCTGGGAGTGATCCCTGGTCGGGGAATTAAGATCCCACACAGTGGGGCCCAAAAAAAAAAGGTGGCCAGCACGGCCCTGCCGTCTCCCTTCCCTCCTGACCCCTCCCCGCCTCCCCTCGTGCAGGGCCCGCGGCCGGGCTCTGATGGGCCCCTCTTTCCCTCCTGAAGCTTTAGCGCGCCCCCGTGCGGCCGGGGCAAGCCCGCCCTGGTCCGCAGGCACACGCTGGAGGACCGCAGCGCGCTGATTTCCTGCATCGAGAACGGGAACTACGCCAAGGCAGCCCGGATCGCGGCCGGTGCGTCCACGCCCGCCACCGTCTTGTGCGCGGAGTGGGAGATGCTGGGGACCTGGGGGCCGGAGGCCTTAGAGCTGGGGGAGGGGTGGGGTGCAGGGCGACTCGGAGTCGCGGCTTGAGGGCGGGTGCGGAGGCCCTAAGCACCACTGTGGGCGCTGGGCCGGCCTTCTGCCTCCCCCCGGGCTCTCGCGCCCTCAGGCCGGGCCGGTCGCACCCACAAGGCCCGTCTTGCCACCCTGGGGCGGCCTCAGCTGTGCAGCGTGTTGGGTCCCGGGGGCCCTGCCCTTCTGACTCCTTTCTCTCCCTCTTCTCCTCAGAAGTTGGTCAGAACAGCATGTGGATTTCAACTGACGCCGCGGCCTCCGTTCTCGAGCCCCTGAAGGTCGTGTGGGCCAAGTGCAGCGGCTACCCCTCGTACCCGGCCCTGGTGAGCCACGTGGCCGTGTCCCCGGGCCCTGGGGACAGGCGTCCTGTGACCACCTGCCGGGAGACGCACACGGGGGTGTCGGGGTGTGGGCAGAGTTCCTTGAGACCCCCCTCTCGTCGGGCCCTGGCCTGCTCCAGGGCACGGGGTGCGAGGGCTGCGCCGCGACCCCGTGTCCTCCCTCGGCAGATCATCGACCCCAAGATGCCGCGTGTGCCTGGCCACCACAACGGGGTCACCATCCCGGCGCCGCCGCTGGACGTGCTGAAGGTCGGCGAGCACATGCAGACCAAGGCGGACGAAAAGCTCTTCCTCGTCCTGTTCTTCGACAACAAGAGAAGCTGGTGAGTGCCCGCCGGGCCCTGGGTGGGTCCGTGTGGTCCCGACGGGCCTCCCACGGGCTCCCAGACCCCTGTGCTCTGCCAGCGGATGCCCCTGCCTTGGCCCCCGACGGGCCGCGGTCCAGACCCTGACCTGAGTGCCCGCGGGAACTGCCCCCCCGCCCTTCTGGCCCCGGGCTCGTCTGTCCTCCGCACTGTGGCCCTTTCTGTGCCCGAGGCTGCTCGGTGGGGAGCCGGCCGCAGTGTCCCGTGCGGCTGCATTGGGCTTGTGTGTCTTGCTGCCCCCTGACCCGGGCAACCCCCTTGCTGCATTCCCTGTGGCTCAGTGGGTCTTCCGGACCCGTGGCCCTGCCCTCCACTCCTTGCCGTGTGAGTGCAAGTGTCGTGCGTGTGTCTGTGTGTGTGCGTGTGCCCCGTGGTGGCCACTCAGGTGTGGCGTGGACGGCCGAGGGCTGCAGCGGCCCCCCGGGAAGTGACGCTGATAGAGGAGGTGACCACTGATCCCGTGCTCGGGCGCTTTCCGCGATGCCGCTTGGCCTGAAGTGCGCGATGGCGTGGAGGCTGGGTGTGTGTGCGGCGGCCGAGGGGCAGGTTGACGCTTGCGCATCCTCACGGTGCATTCTCTTCCTTCAAAGGCAGTGGCTCCCGAAGTCCAAGATGGTTCCCCTTGGCATTGACGAGACGATAGACAAGTTGAAGATGATGGAGGGGAGGAACTCCAGCATCCGGAAGGCGGTGAGGATCGCCTTCGACCGCGCCATGAACCACCTGAGCCGCGTGCACGGGGAGCCGGCCAGTGACCTCAGCGACATAGACTGACGCGGCTGTGGCCTTGTCCGTAGTGTCGATACGCTGTACATACTGTATATTGTTCACCACTTAACTTATTCTGATTTTTAGGTGTAGTTTAATTCTTTCTCCCAGGGAGGGGGAGGTTTTATTTCCCAGTTTTCTATGAAATCATCCCCGTCTGGGCGCTCTGTGAATGGCGTGGGCGCGTCCCCCGAGTGCAGCTCTGTGCCCCTCACGGGTCGCTCCAGAGGGCGCTGCCGGCCTCACTTTCTTTGATCTGTAGCTGTTTTTTTTTGTTTTTTTTTTTAAAGACTTTTGAATGTTTAATAATTTTGTAAATCATGCTCTTTACACAGAGTACCACTTATTTAATAGACGGGATGTAAATTTACAATGACAAATGTGTATTTTAAGAAAGAAAATGACATTATTTTGAATGGTACTTTGTGGAAAGAGGTGGAGAATAAACTTATGCCGCGCGCATCACTTGCAAATCACCAAAAACACTCCGCCGCCCCCGTGAGGGCTGGGGCAGCGCCTCCTCTGGGCCTCGCCAGCCTCGACCACGCGCCAGCCTCCGCCTGTCCGCGCCAGCCTCCCACGGGCGTGCCTCCCAGCGGATTATTTATTGTAGAAAGTGTATCATTTGCTTTATAACGAGAGATAAATTGGCAGAAGTATATTGATATGCGTTTTATACAGGACATAAAATCCAACTTGCTTCGGGAGCAGGATGTGTTGGTTGTTGTACAAATGACTCTGGCTGTGTTCTTTGATTTTGTAACTTGTAATCTTTTGTTTACAATGAGGGGCTTTCTGTAACTTGTTTTAATTTAGAACACTTTGGTAGCAATAGAAACTTTGGATACATTTTTGTATGGTACACGTGATGTATATAGAATTAGTACTTTATTTTTTATTTTTAAGAGGTAAAGCATTATGTTAGGGGAAAAGGTAGGGTGGGTTTCCAAAATGGCATTTTTTATATTAAAAAATAAAGTCAAGATTTGGACGGTGTGTCCCTTTCATTCCTACACCATTAGAATGCCGGGTGGGCGTGCAGCCTGGCGGCCGGGCCGGGGCTGGGCGAGGGTCCCTGCAGCCGAGGCACGCGACACACCTTCATCTCAAAGTGTCGCGGGATGTCATTATTTATTATTTTACCTAATCATATTTTTATTTTAAAATGGTAGTTTAAAATTTTTAAATGTTTTTTTTTCTTTTAAGTCTGCATCGTTTGTAACATCTCCATAGAAACTTGAAAATAAAACATCTTCCTTTGATAGTTTTGTCCCGTGTCTGACGGACGCTTTCTCTCTGCTGTGGTTCTGGGGTCCTCGAGGAAGGCCTGTTGGGGCCACGTCACCGCGGGCGAGGCCCCCGGCTGTGGTCGGAGAAGGGACGGGAGGGATGGAGGGACGGGGTCTTCACGCCGGAGCCTGGAGCTGCACCTGGGGCCTCCTCTGCCCCCACTGTCCCAAGTCACGGTCACGCTGAAGGTCGCGAGGGGCTGCCGCGGCCTGAGCTCTGCTGGCGGCGTCCTCTGGCGCCGAGTCCTGCTGCTGTGGTTTCCACGGAGCCCCGCCATCCTGGCCGCCAGGACGTGTCCGGGCTCGTTGGTGGGGCCTCCTGAGCGCTCAGCTCAGCCCGCCCTGCTGGAGCTGGCCCTTGCCGCCGCTCGGGCCCACTGGGCGGGCGTCCAGCCTGTCCCCGTTCGCCTGGGGCTTTGTGGTGTCAGCACCGAAGTCAGTGTCCCGGCAGCTCCTCACCCGTACCTGGGGCCCTTGCCAGTCCGGGGCAGCCCCAAGGAGCCCCCGTCTCAGAAGCTCACTCGACCCAGCACTGGCCGCCCGACTCCACCCAGGGCGTGGCTGTGCTGCGGCCCCAACCCCGAGCAGGGGCCTGGCAGGTGGGGCTGAGGGCGCCCCGCGTCCTTAGCAGGACCTCCTGGGTCCCACTGCCCTCTTGGATCCAGCCCCGGGGGCCCTGGGGCTCCTGGCTGTGGCTTCCTTCTTTCTTGGAGGGCCTCTGGGCAGGTGGACAGAAGGGGCAGCTTCAGAGCGCAGGGGGGTCTGTAAGGGCAGCTGGGGGCGAGGACCCAGCAGGGACACTGGGGCGCCTCAGGCTGGAGCCCAGCCCCCCGGGAGGCCGGTGGTCTCTCCTCGAGACCTGCAGTGAGTCCCGTGTGACCCGCTGCCTGGGGCCCTGGCCCTGCAGACTTGAGGCCGCAGGGCTGGGGACTCTGGGGGACACTGGGGTCTTGTGGTCTGAGCAGTGGGGCCCAAGCCTCCGGAGTGCCCACGTGGCAGGCCTGCGTGGCCCCGGCATCCAGCTCCCAGCGCAGGGGCAGAACTACAGCCCGGCGCTGGGGCGTTTCGTGTCCAAGGCAGTGTAGACGGTGCTCATCGTGTGACTGGGGCTCCCGGCCCTGTCCCCCCAGGCAGGGTCCAACCACGCGGTGTGGCCTCCTCCCCAGTTCTGTGGGCGGCACTCAGGGTTTCCCCGAAGCAGACAGGGATCCTCACGTACCCCCAACAAGCCCTCTCTGGGGTCCCCCACCCCAGACGTGTCCTCTCGGTGTCCCCCTTCCAGGCGTGCTCTGCGGGTAGGGCAGACTCCCCACTCCTGGACCAGGTGGGTTTGGCTTCTTGGGGGATGGGGGGCAGAGGTCTCCCCCAAACCCTTTCCCCCAAACCAGGGGCTGGCCCCAGGCTGGGGAGGGACTGTCCACACACCCCTGCACCCCACAGACTTGTGGGGTCAGATCTTGCCACCCTTGCTCGGACCCCGGCCCCTCCTGGGACCCCCAGGGGAGCTCCCTTGCAGTGAGGTGAGGCCAGGAGACAAGATGAATGGGAAGTACCTGGGAGCATCACTTCCAGGAAATGTCCTCCATGTGGGAGGAGTTTCCTCCTGCTGGCTGGAATGTGGATGTGGCGGCTGGAACTGGAGCAGCCATTTTGGACCATGTGGAAGGCGGCAGAGCCACAGGCTTGATGGGGCTTGGGCCTTTGACGTAAGCACAGAGCTTTCCTGTTGTGAAATGCAATTCATATTTTATGGCAAGACAAAAAAAATTTAAACAATGTTTTTCTGCCCTTTGGCCCCCTCTCTCCCCCTTGCTGCGAGTTGTGTATCTGCATGTTGCATCGACCACACCTTCCCCACTGGCAGAAATGCCTGCTCAACCATAAAGAGCAGTATTCTCCCAGCATCAACAAGACAACTCCTTAAAGATAAATTTCCTTCTCCATCTCCTAAGGGCCCGATGACGCTTAGATCGGGATTGTGTAAATTGTCAATAATACGTCATTTGATGTACAGCCCTCTGTCTCAAAAACCTTATATAACTGTGCCTTGACTTCTAGTGGGTGGAGCAGTTCTCAGAACTTTCTGAGATGCTCCTCCCCAGGTTATAATCCTCAAATTTGGCTCGAATAAAATGTTCCATTTCTTTTGTAGATCTTTTGTAGACCGATTAATTTTTCTTTATTTATTTACTTTTAATTTAATTTAATAATTTTGGCTGCATTGTGTCTTAGTTGCGGCGCGCAGGATCTTCACTGAGGCAGGCGGGATCTTTTCATTGTGGCGCGCGGGGCTCTTCGCGGTGATGCGCGGGCTTCTCTCTAGTTGCAGCGCGTGGGCTCCAGGTTGCGTGGGCTCTGCAGTTGTGGCACGTGGGCTCTCTTGTTGTGGCGCGCGAGCTCAGTAGTTGTGGCGTGCGGGCTCAGTTGCCCCGCGGCGTGTGGGATCTTAGTTCCCCGACCAGGGACCGAGCCTGCGTCCCCTGCATTGGCAGGCGGATTCTTATCCACTGCGCCACCAAGGAAGCCCTCGACTGATTAATTTTTTTGTCGACACTACCAGGCCTGAAGATTTTTTTATGTGATGGGAACGTTACCTTTTAAAGCCACAGCTGTTTTCTTTAGAGCAGGTAAATCTCATATCGGTCAAAATGAAATCATTAAAATTACAGAAAAAATCGTGGAGTGATTATTTACTACCATGGAGTGAAGATGATCTTTTAAAATACGACACAGCCTCCAGAAACCACAAAAGAAAGTATCAACGTATTTAACAATGTAAACTTAAAAAGTTCATGTGGGCGTGGTCAAAAACATCCCATCACTCACAAGGTCAAAAGACCGATTTGGAAGAATATTTGCAACTCAAACCACAGAAAGAGGGCTCATTTCCTTAAGAAATAAAAGTCCTACAAATCAGTTTTAGAAAGACCACCAATGGGCCAACAATGGACTCATTTCCCAGAAAAGTGAATACAAATGATTCTAAACATATTAAAAAATGCTTCATTTCACTCATAGTAATAGAAATGCAAAGTAAAACTGCTCCCTAGAGGCCATTTTTAAATTGTCAGGTTGGCAAAGAAAACAAAACCACAGGAAACGTCCAAGGGAGGGGGACGAGCCTTCTCAGACGCTGCTGGTGGGTGAGCGGCTGAGCTGATCCCCCTGGGGAGGAATCCACGCCAGTCATCAGACTAACGCCCTTTGACCCAGTGCTTCTACCTCTGGGCATTGATCCTTCAGTTATATTCTCACCAGCGTGACGTGACTCTGTCAGGTGGCAGCATTTTGGTAAAAGTGAAAGGTTAGAAACAACCTACATGTCTGTCCACAGGGGACTGCCAAGATCAACGGAGACACAGCACGCGGTGGAGTCCCCGGCAGCTGTCGCAGAGTGAGGAAGGGCTGTATAAACTGATGCGGAAAATCTTCGAAATAAAGTGTAAGAAGCAGAGCGGGGAAGAATGGGCAGGCTATGCCGCTGTTTGTGTCGAAGAGGGGACTTGCTTGCATTTGTGGGAACTGAGTGTGCCCAGAGCCAGGTGGCTGAGAGGGTCCCTCCAAGTGAGGCTGGCGGGGCCCAGCCTGCGGTCCCATGAAGGCTGTCGCGCAGCCGCGCCTGGTCTCCGTGTAAAAGGATGGGGATGCCGAGTGGACAGACGTGCTCCCCTGGGTGGCTGGGCAGCAGGGGCTGCAGGGAATCAGCCTCGGGTCAGGGGACACTGGGATGGCCCGGAGGGGCCTGGGCTGACTGGGGGCGGGGGGGGAACTCCTCGGGGCACATCATGCTGCCTCCTCTACTCTCCCATACCAGCTGTTTATAACCCAGACGCTCACTTTACAAATGCATCATTTCAATAAAAACAAACTCGGCTGTGGTGTGGTCAAAACACTGACTGCTGCTGAGTTACAGGGCTCAGCGTGGGCGCAATTTCATGGTTATCTCCGCCAGTTCACACACGAGGCTTGTATTTAAAAATAAATGCTTTGATATCCTGGGGGAGTTATTTTCTTTGGTCTTAAAAAGCAATATACACAAAGATATTGAAAATTAAAAATTCATCAGTGCTCCGAGACTCCATCTGTGGCTCACCGAGACACAAGCGGTGATTTGTCAAGCTCGGGTGGGGGGCTTGGCCCTTTGCTGCAGATTTGGGGAGAAACTACGGAGAGAGAGGCTCCCTGGGAAATCCATCTGACTGCGACCAGGCACCTGGGAGGGCTGGGCTCCCGTTCCCAGGACACAGAGTGGTGCTTCAGGCCCCAAGCAGGAAGCGGGTGCCCCGGCCCCTGGCTGCCTGCTGGCTGGTGTGGACAGACACGGGGCCGTTATGCGCTTAAAATGTTCTTCTTGTCACTTTTAACGGGGTTCTGTTACCTTATTTCATTACAGTACTTCTGTTGCACATGAAGAGCATCTCTTGTGGTACCAGCTCCCAACCTGAAGCCCCAGACGCTCCAGGCCCACATACCTCCCTCCACCTGCTTGACCAGAAGAGGCCCCCCAGGGTGGAGGGAGACAGAGGTCCGAGGTCTGTGGCTACGTCCAGGGTGGTGGGGGGACCCTGTGCAAAGGGCCCTGGGCCGGGGGAGGGGCTGGCGGGGGCGGGAGGCCCAGGCCCTCCTGCTGGTATTAACAAAACAGCCCAAGTGGGAAAGTGGCGCTGCACCCCTCCCCCTGCCCCTCCGCCTCCACGCTGGCTCTGTGACCCCCCAGCCTCCGTGACCTGTCCCTGCGGTGGGTGTGGGGTCTCCGTCGGGTGACGGGCAAGGTCTGTGGACAGGCCGGTCCGTGCTGACCGCTCAGCCCGCAGAGTCAAGCCAGGAGTCGAGGCACCTCCGCGCCGCGCCCGGCTCAGCAGGAGAAGCTGCCCGAACCTTCGTCTCCCTCGAGGACTGCATTTCTGGCCTTTAAGTGATGGTTTGATGAATAAATAGTAGTCACATCTAAACATAAATATACACGCACACCA